CACTTGTTTCTAGTAGCGATGCGCTTGTTTCTACTAGCTTCTTGTTACTAGTAGTAAGGCACTTGTTTCTAGTAGCGATGAGCTTCTTGTTACTAGTAGTAAGGCACTTGTTTCTAGTAGCGATGCACTTGTTTCTACTAGCTTCTTGTTACTAGTAGTAAGGCACTTGTTTCTAGTAGCTTCTTGTTACTACTAGTAAGGCACTTGTTACTAGTAGCGAGGCACTTGTTTACTCCCTCAATTAGGTCGGCGCCTACTTAATTAAGGGAGGCAGGGCCACGGGCTTTTCTGAGGCCTCGAAGTGCTGAGAGCTTGATGCGCTCAGGGAGTGCTGGCAGTGGAGCCTCTTTGAACAGTTTCGCCAAGAGCTTTGACTTGGGCCGCCCCAATCGCGACATCAAGCGGACGTCGCGAAAATCGGCGTCTCATCCACGACCATCGATGATGAGGCCTGAAGCATTTCTTGAAGGATTTTGCTTCCTTTTTGGCGTCGGGTTCAGGTGGCTTGTTGATGGAAAGCATCCAAAGAAGGACAAAGCCAAGACGACCGATGAGCCGAGAAAGGTCGAACGTTCTTCGATACCTTTCCTATCCTTTCCTCTTCCTCTAGAGGAGCTGTTTCAGCGTCATTGTTTTGGATTTGCAGGAAGGCAGATCCTTTCTGAGCCGGCTTTTGTGGACAGAGTAAGTGCTAGTGTTTTGCACAAGCTAGGGGGTAAGCAGGGGGTGTTCACAGCTTCCTCAAGTTATTGCTCTTTCACAGTGGAACACTCCTGGTTCCCTTAGTCGTTCGTTCTCCCGTGGTGACTTCGTCGTTCGGTGCCGCACTTCCTCAAGGGAAGGGCGGCGTTGCTTCGTAGAAAGAGGGCCCGGAACTGTGCTGTTCAGCGGAGCGCAGAGCACAGTCTGCCTTTCAGCCTTTCGAAGAAAAAGAGTGGCCAGTTGGCAAATAGAGCGAAGCAGCCAGTTGCCAGTTGGCAGATTGGAGATGCAGCCTTGGGGATTTGCGGACTTCAGAATGTGAGCTATCCTGCGTCCATACTAGTAGCTTAAGTAGCTAGGAGCGTCCTAGTAGCTCGGAGGGAACATCTCCTTTCTTAATTCAGTAGGTACACCGGCTTAATTAAGTTTGTTTCCTCAAAAGTCGAGGTGGGATAAATGTATGTTTGTATGTAAACATATTTTTAGGTGCTTGTTAGCATTTAAGCCATTGATTGTTCAACTATTTGTTTGAATTGGCGTGCTCACAGTGACAAACACCAAGGCAATCAGACATATTTATAGAATGCTAGACAAAGATATGGTTCTTTCAGTTGCTTCTTGGAAATGCCTTTGCCACTTGAGAGATCAGTGGCCGCGTTGGTGATTTCCACTAAACAGCTAAAAGATGTAGAGCTGCAAAAGACAAGTTACTATGCAACGACCATGCATGAAACAAACGCACGGAAATTTGAGCTTCCATTCTGGGTCCGAAGACAGTATCAGTAGCGATGCTTTCAAAGTGGGGGCCTCAGTGCTCGAAATTGTTTGAGTTCCATTGTCCTTCACACAAACGGCAAACATTCCTGTGTTGAGGCCCTCTTTATTTGGAGATTTGCCGTGGGAAGGCGCAGATCAACGGCAAATCAATTGGAATGGTGTTTCTTGACAGTTCTTTGACGAGTATACACCGTGTCATAAGCCTCTTCTACGCGAAGGCTCTCAGAGCTCTGCATTTGGCCAGTTTCCTAAAGTTGTGCTACTTCAGCTTATTTGTGATGCTTTTGGAGAACAGCATTTTTTCATGGGGTGGTTGTGTGTTTGGATGGTTACAGTTTGCACAGACAAAGATTCATGTTCAGTTGCAACATACTTCGCAGCAACTAGGAGGACTGCCAGACATCCCTGATTTGCAAGGTAGCATGGCTTCTGAACTGCTCGTGGCAGCGTCACAAGTGTTGCCCGCAGGCCATTGCTGTCGTGTTGTTAGATCCGTACACCACTCACCATGGCCTTGTCAGATATCCTTTCTTTCTGATCACAATTCCAGTCCCTGTGGGAATGGCAGGGTGCGGAATCAGAAGAAATCGTTCTGTTCAATCCTTGGATTAGCTTTGAACCAACTCCGAGACCAACTCCTCACCGCTTCCGGCTGTCGCTCAGGTGAGACCATTTCAGGTGAAATGCTTAGACTGGCGGAATGGATCCACAGTTTTTGTAACCATTTGCTTTCCAACTTTTTTGTGTTTCTGCAACAACGTTGGTTGCAGGGCAATAAGCATGTTCAAGGCGGGTGTAGCACTAGACGCCGCATGAAACATTTTGTACAGGCATTGCAAGGTAAAGACATGTGAAATTCAATTCGTGAGCGTTTGTGCTTGAGAGAAATCGATGTGTTCTGGTTACAATGGTCATGATCATTGGCCGCTTGCTCAAGCTCACTCCTGACGGACTGTGACGAGGCAGGGCTTGAGGTGTCTTTTCAATTCAGAACTGCAACCTCGCAAACAGACTTTGCTACAGCTTGCAGATGGAATTGTGAAAACTCTTCCAACATGTCAGCAAACCCTTCTAGGGAGCATCATCACTTGAAATTGTGCACTGGTCTTGGGCCATTTGGCTTCTCAGCTACCAGACAAGCATACCAGCAGTCATTATTCAGGATATTTTGGTATTCTAGAAGATACAGGTTCTCAGAGACGATCTATCCTCCCACCCGTCATGAATGAAGACTCTGAAGTATGGACACCTGGAGGCGAGATGAAGTTGACCATGAAAGTCATTAACTGGTATTGAGTTAAGAGGTTGGAGGACATCGCTCTTAGGTTGGAGGACATCGCTCTTAGGTTGGAGGACATCGCTCTTAGGTTGGAGGACATCGCTCTTAGGTTGGAGGACATCGCTCTTAGGTTGGAGGACATCGCTCTTAGGTTGGAGGCCATCGCTACTAGGGTGGCGGCCATCGCTCTTAGGTTAGAGGCGATCGTTACTAGGGTGGCGGCCATCGCTCTTAGGTTGGAGGCCATCACTCTTAGGTTGGAGGCCATCGTTAATAGGGTGGCGGGCATCGCTCTTAGGTTGGAGGCCATCGTTACTAGGGTGGAGGCCATTGCTCTTAGGTTGGAGGCCATCACTACTAGGGTGGAGGCCATCGCTACTAGGTTGGAAGCCATCGCTCTCATTGTTTTCAGGTTGGAGGCCATCGCTCTTAGAATTAAGTCTGACCTTGGAGGTATGAAATTCCTGCAAGAAAAGTTGATGTCAATGGCAAAGGCACAGGAGGAGTGTGCACATCGTTCGATCAAGTCTTGCTGTTGACCGTAGGTCTGTTTCGTCTATTTTTGGCAGCTGCTGCTAGATGATAAGAGTCAGATGTAAACCTTCTTGATCTTGGCATTGAAATTTCAGGACTTGTTGTGTCAGCAAAACATCGAGCTGACAAACTTTCTCTACGAACATTTCGAGCTCAGGCCATACATATCACATGACACTTTGTGCGGATTATCAAACCAATGACATTCTTGTTGACCATGTTGCGAGTTGACACATTTCCAAATGACTTTGCCTGGATTGACTTGTGACTGTACCAACCGTCCCCACAAATACAGTCTGAATCCAAGTCGCATGTTCTTTGCTTCCAGGTCTAGCACAAATCTAGTTACAAGCTCAAAGTTTGGCAGCTTGCTCAGTACACTAGTCAAGCATTTTTAAGAAAGTAGAAGGGGCAAACTTTGTCATCCTGCGACGGAAGCACTGGGACTGGACCCACCTGCACTGAGATTTGAACGGCAAAGAGCTTGGGCTGAGTGCGGCTTGTCCACATTTCAGAATGCACAGAGATTCTTTTGCCTATCGCTTTCTGTGCTTGGTGTGATTGTGACAAGTCAAGCCACAAGTTTACCAGGAAGAAGGCCCCAAGGCCGCCGAGTTGGACCCCGAGGGCGACCCTGAGGGCCCCAAGCTGGCCAACGTGGCATTTGTCCGACCATCGCCACTTGGAAATCGAAACAACCAAACGAATCTACAACTCTAACAAGTGCATCGCTAGTAGTAACAAGTGCCTTACTAGTAGTAACAAGAAGCTACTAGAAACAAGTGCCTTACTAGTTGTTTTCTTTTTGCTTTCTTTTTTTAAACCTGGAGGGGTAGGCCGCAGCTAGGTAGGAGGCCGCAGTGAAGAGGTAGCTAGTGCCTTACTCAAGCTACTACCGACGCAGGATAGCTCACGCTTCCTTGAAGAAGCGCTCGCACTATTCATTTGGTTCCTAGATTTTTAGTTTAGGGAAACTTGGTGATGACCAACGGACGCTACTAGGGGCTCCTGGCCTTACTACTAGTAACAAGAAGCTACTAGGAGCAAAGGGCATCGCTACTAGGAGCAAGGACGCTACTAGGAACAAGGAGCTGCTGCATTTTTAGGGAAGCTTGGTGATGCTGGTCGAGGTCCATCGAGACCGAAGCAGAGCTCGAGTGCTCCTCTCAGAGTATTGAGCCTATTTTGGAGACAAAGCAGGAGGACAACTCCAGCCAGTGTCCTGGTTCAAGTAATAAGTATTTGATCTCAAGTTCATGTTAAGATCTGAGTGCCCGGTCAATCGTTGAACTTTCCCTCGCAAGAGAGTGGAATTCCGGGAGTTCTTTTTAGCTTGCAGGCAGAGTCCAGCCAGCTCCAAGGAGAGGAGAAGTTGCCAAGCTCAAAGTCTTTTGTGACACTTACCGTTCTTTTTTTCAAGATCAACACAAAGAATTCTAAACAGGCTTTTAGCAAAGTCGAAAATCTGAGACTCCGTCATGGAAGAGCTGGCATCAATGGAAGAGAAGGTGACAGGTGCAGTTGTGGACTATGGCCGAAAGCTCTTGCAGTCCGATAATTTTTCCTTCAAGTCGCTCGCCGCTCGGCGAATTTAGCCAAATATTATTCTTACAAGTTACAGGTACTCTTGCTTCTAAAGCAAAGTCAGTAAATCGACATGTTTCAAGCTGGAGGATTTGGTTGTTGGCGTTCTGATCGCAATCAACACGATTGTCGGGAGCCCGGGACATTCAAGAATTGAGGTGAGAGGAAGAGTTCCTTCATGACTCTTAATGCTATTAGTGCGATGGCCTCCAACCTACTAGCGATGGCCTTCAACCCAGTAGCGATGGCCTCCAACCTACTAGCTTCTAGCTACTAGTAGCTTTTTGCTCCTAGTAGGGGCCTTTTGTTAGTAGTACCGATGCCCTAGTGCCAGGTGATGATGATCCGAAATGAATATATGGGTTATGAAGTTGGTGTAGCTCTCGGTGCGATGAATCATAACCCTCTGTCAGAGTTGGATTGGACCCTTGATGCCTTGGAGAGAGGCTTCCTGGAATCGCAAGGTTTAGGGAGAGCATTACAACCACAAAGCAAGCCTTTAGCATAATGTATAGAGTTTTGCTTCTCTTGCAGAACAGGGTGTTGCAACTTGAAAGAAAGTGAAAGAGAGAGAGAGAGAGAGGGCCAGTGCAAGTGCAACTTGTCACATTTGTCTAAGGCTTTGCCATTCTCTTTCTCATTGAGCTCGTTGTACGAGTTGCAATACAACGCTGCAGCTACTTCAGGTCATGTTGGAATTGGTTTGATGAGTCTTGGCGAGACCTTAAAGCTTGTAGGGTTCGGGAATGTCTCGATGCTTCTTGATATCATTTGGGATCCCTTTCGAATTGGACGCATTTCCGAAGCTCATTCCGCCTGAGGTGGTCCTTGTCCTGGTGAGCATGTTTGATCTCTTTCTGCTTGACTTGCTGCGTGTGGACGTCAAGCATCCTGCTTGATGTTTAGTATTTTTAATAAAAGCGAGAACACACTCCCTTACTGAATTTTCTTCCGGTGCCTTTCCCGCAAAAGTTGTCTCCCTTTCTCCTAGCCCAGGATCAATGTGAACGTCACCATGATGCGGCTGGCCCGGACCGTGAAGTTGGCGAGGGCATTTCGCATTATGAGAACCTTGAGGCTCTTTGAAGCTGATCTGCAACTCTCACAACAAGCTTGAACAGATGTCGCCTGGTAGATTCACAACAATCTGGTCCATGACATAAGGATTCAGCAGAAATCATAAGAAGATACCGTCGGTTTAAGTTGAGCACTTTGACACGTGGGAGTCCTGAAGTCTTAGTCAGTTGATTTGGAACGATGTTGGACCCAATCCAAGGAAGGCTTGCGTGTGTTGGTGCACTCAGTCTCAGCCTTTCTTCCATCTCTGATGCCAAGACCTTAGCGGATGCGATGCATTGGTAAGATGTATGTATTCTGCCAGTCTGCTTCAAGTTGTGAGTTAGGAATGATTCCAGATTGCCGCCCCGACGCAGGTGGGCCATGATCTTCCTGGGGCTTTTTATCATTACTGGTGGCATTTTGTTGGGTGGCCTCCTGCAAAGCTTCCTCGTTGACACCAGTGAAGACTTTGATAGAAGGTACTGGGTCTGGAGACACTATGGGACAGCAAGCAGAGCCCCTCGGCGAGCCGATGCTGTTAGCAAAGGCTTCTTGGGGCAGTGTCGGTTCTTTGTGCCTGAAGTTTCGCAGCTGCCAGTGGATCACTCAGAGAAGAGTTCGATAGATATACAGTATTTATTAGGTTGGAGGCCATCGCTATTTGATATAATGACTGGCTCCATTTTGCGAACTTTCACGCTTGTGCTCACTGCGCAAACTCCAGGGAAAGAGCTTGACAGTCTCGTCCATGTGGGACTTCTATTTTCTGCGAGAATTTCTCCAGGATTGATGTCGTTGGTTCTTTTTAAGTGTTGTTGCATTTTTGGCTACTGCCAATGGTGGGACGTGACAAAGACAGATAGGAGACCCTCTGTGCGGAGGGATGTTGAGAGTTGAGTTACGGTATACAGATTATTAATCACCTTTGAGACCTTTGAGTGTCGTATGCATGTTGGAATTAAGCTTCTAAATGCCCTTTTTGATTCCAATGTACCAAATTCGCTTTAGGTTTCCCCAAAATCTAGGAACCAAGCGAGCGCTTCTTCAAGCAAGCTCTCCCCCGCCCTCAAGTGGGGGGAGCTTCCTTGAAGAAGCGTGAGCTATCCTGCGTCCAGTAGGTAGTAGCGTCCTAGTTGCCCTTAGGCCCTTACTTGATTGAGTAGGCAGTCTCTACCGGTGGGAAATGAGTGCAGCCCTCCACGTGGGCGCCACCGGGGCAACCTTGTTTGTAAGCGGTATGTTGGGTTGTAGGTTGGAACCTTTATGGATGACAAGGGCGAACCCAATCTGGTCCTTCGGGTCCGGCGTTTCTCCGGTTTTAACAGGGTTGGTTTCTCTCTTTTCGCGGTCATTCTATGGGGAGAACGGGAGCACGCGACTCCTGCCGGTTCAGGCTCAAGGGGCGTTTGAGTTTCCTGTCAGGGTCAACTCTTCTCTGGGCCACCGGTGTGGAGGAGACAACAACTTGACTGACCCGTACGTTGTTGGGGGGGAGTTGGTTGGCTTGTGGCTTGGTTGGACTCCAGTGTTTGGGTCCTACGGTGTCATCCCTGTGGTGACTGGTGGCTGCTTGGAACAGGGGGTCTTGGTCGGCTTGACACATCCAAGGTCCGACATGCAATGGAAACATGAGAGAGTAGTTAGAGTGGAAGTATGTGACAGCACATGTGTAAGTGTTGCTGGAAGCCTGGAAGGCTCAAGCGAGGTGGAAAAGGTTTTGGTGGCGTCGACCACTTTTAGTGGTAGCGGAGCCCCGACAAGGGGCGGTAGGACCGGTAGTTTTTAGGACCAGGCTTGGGCCTGGATCCATCTCTGCTTAGAGCCCACCCCGTTCATCAGGCGGCGGACGGTGACGTTCTTGGAGGGCACCGGGCGAACTTCATCGGGGACATCGAGTTCGAGATCCTCCCAGGCGGAAGCTGATCCTTGGGCTGCGGCAGACCACCAACGAGCCGCGATGGCAGCCCCAGTGACGACTGAGGATCGGCCGCATTTGGTGGGTTGGACCGGATGGGAGAATTGGGAAGAAGCCAGCAGTGAAAATGTTGATGGATGGCAGACTTCGTCAAAGGCCTCTTCGGACCGCTCGAATGTGGCTTCGTGGTCGGCGGGTTCATGGAGCTCGGAACACCGTGATTGGCGTGGATGGGGATCTACGAATGGGGAACGACACTGGGATGGTGACAATTGGGAGGATGACGGCAGTTGGTCTGCTTGGTCATGGAATGCTGGACGCCGTGCGAATTGGTCCATGCAGTCATCTGAGAGTGTCGAACACGGTGGAGGAGCTCCGGGACACGCTTTTTTCGAACACGAGCTCGACTCTACTCCTGCGGCTGGACTTCATCAAGCACCTTCGCGAGAATATCATGGGGATGATTCTGAAGAAGGGCATGGAGAAGACGCAGGAGTGCATGGAGGTGGCGGGCAGTGGGATGAAGCCGGAAGGCAAGGCATGTCGCCATTGTCAGCGGCACCAACTCTTTTGGTTCCGAGCGGACATCCGCCCGTGGCAGGCGGATCTGGTGTGGGATCCGGACAGGCTGGAGGAGTTGGTGGAAGTGGAGGACATATTGTCTTCCTCGTACCCACCGATTTTCTACGCCCGCCCTGGTGAATCTTGGCAGGAGTATTGGCGAACCGTTGAATTCTGGTTGGCATCAGAAGGCAAGTCTCTGCCACCTGAAGTACGACTGATGCAGCAGCTTCGTGAACGTGCAGGCAAGATTGTTTGGCGTCTGACGGTGCAAGAAGTGGCTGCTGAAGGGGGCATTGAAATCATTCGCCAGACCATGGAAAAGAGCCCAATCATCAAGATCTTGGATACCAAGAAGGTAGACAAACGCAGGAGAGTCCATTGAGTCCTTTTTGAATCGGGCTGAGATTTACCGGCGAGAGAACCAGTCCTCCCCCGATTACACGGTCGGCTCCAAGTTCTATATTGGCCACCTGCTCGACGCGGCGAAACTCACTAAACATGACTTGGCATTAATTAAGGCAGGCGCTGGCGGTAGCTTGAAGCATGAGGAGCCGGTGACACTGGCTCTCGTGGACTTGGCCGAGCAGCTGGAAGGACTTCCACACTTTCCCATTGGCAAAGGGGAAGCTCTCTTGGACAATGAAGACAAGTACTTGGTCCAAAAGGGGGTTGGGGCATCCACCGCCTCCCCGGCTGTGCCTCCGACAGCGCCCAATGCTGGACCACCACGCAGGCGACGCTTCTTGAACAGGAAACGATTTCGAGAGGCGCTGGTGGCGATCATGGAGGGCGACGATCCCGAGGAGACCAATCCCGAGGCGGAGGAGATCTTTGCAGCACTTCGCAACAATGATGCTGGCGATGACAGCCTCGATGAGGATGAAGAAAACTTTGAGAACAATTCCGGGACCGGCGCAGCGAGTTCAGGGGCCTCAGAATCCGGATCCTCAACAGGTGGCAAACATGGCAATGGAGTTGGCCCAGCAAATGATGGCAGCGCAGGGCTTCTTGAACAAGCAAGGACAGGAGCAAGTCATCCCGGAAGAGCTGATCGACGACGAGGTCGAGGAGAACCGCAAGGCGAAGGCCCGGGGCAAGGGGAGCTCCAGGGAGGCATCAGTGAAGAAGAAGGGAGCCTCGCAGAAGGCACAGAGGCAAGCAGCCCTGACGGGGGATTTGGCTCCATTCCGTCCCGCCAGTTCTCCGCCGATGTGACCTTCAACATCATGGCGAGCCTCCAGTCACAGATGCTGGTGTTCAAATGGAAGACATAGCTGCTGATGCTTCGGGTGAAACAGGCCGTGGAGAAGGAGAAGGGCCAGTCCGGCCGGCCTTTGAAGTGGAAGCGCAATCCACGCTGGATGATGGCCCTGCACGGTCGTCAATTGGCCGCGCTGTTGGGACATCTTGGAGCGGCGCGCCAGCTGTGTTTCAATCCCAAGACATGGTGGCTGGCGGATGTGGATCGGGAGTAGTTGACCCGCCCCAGATGAGCGCAGTGGGGGCGGAGTCTATGGAAAGCGCATGGCGGTGGACCTCCAGGGCACGAGCAACTATGAGCCGGTGGTTCCGGACGAGAGCAAGACCAAGGGTAAGCCTGATGACCCGGTGGAGACCCAGCGGCAAACTCTGCTCCGCGGGTTGCAACGAGCCAAAGAGGTCAATGCCTTGTTCCAAGAGGCCCTGGGGACACCTGGGGAAGGGGCACCGCCTGGAGATGGTTGGGTGCTTCTGGAGATCTTCGCCGGCAAGGCCACGCTGAGCAAGTTGGCAAGAGAGAGAAATTGGTGGGCGCTACCGCCGCAGGACATCCTCATCACGGGGCTGTACATCACACCACCAGATCATCAACAGCTATTGAAAGACATGATTGAAGTCCAGCAACCCGATGTGATTACCTTGTCGCCCAAGTGTGGTCCCTGGAGTGCTTGGCAGAGACTTCGGCGAGATCGTGCGCTTTTACAGGCTCAACGTCGAGATGAACTTCCATGTTGGGACTTCGTGGAATGGGTGTGGCATTACCAGACCGCACGTGGAGCCTTGGTCGTCTTGGAACAGCCACACCAGTCAGAGGCGTTGAATCTTCCTCAAATGCACCGTAGAAGACAGGTCTACACCAAGCACGTGGATCAGGGTGAACCATCTTCCACACAAGAAGCCGACGGCTTTCCAGGGGAACCATCCGTCAGTCTTGACCAGGAGATCCTATGTGTTCATCATCCAGACAAGCATCAGGTCATTGAAGGTTCCGCGCGAGTGAAGATTGATGGCCAATGGGAGAAGAAGAGACGTTCGGAACTGGCCTAAGGGGCTGTGCGAATGGTTGTTGGATTATGATAGCATTGATAGCATCTTCAACTCCTTAGCCAAGATGAGCGGGCTATGGACGGAGGAGGTGAACACGCTGTTGGAACAACAGGTGCCGATGCTTCGTCGTCTTCACCAAGCCTCGACGGAAGGAGGATCTGTCTATCTGTCGGTGCCGGTGGAGTTGGAGAGACAGCCGGAGGCGGCGCTGCGACAACAGATGAGCTTGATGCAGGACGAGGACGCCAAGACAAAGTACGACTACATCAGCTTTGTGGGCTCGAGTGCAACCTTGAGTAGAAAGATGAGAAGAACGATTGCACATCTTCATGTTGCACTCGGTCATATCGGGGCCGACAAATTGTGTCGCACGCTAGCCTTGAATGGGGCCAAGGAGTCTGTCATCACTGCGGTGAAGAACCTCAGGTGTGGTGTTTGCTCTCAAGTGGTATCACCAACTCCTCCGCCCAAAGTCTCATTCAAGAGGCCATCAAGTTTCTATGAGCGGGTCTGCGTGGACACCTTCTTTGTGTGGGATGCCCAGTCTCTCAAGTACGCCGTGACACACCTGGTAGATGCCTTTTCTTTGTACCAGGTTGCAATTGTCTCCAAGGATCCTTCGGCCGCCGCTCACCCGGATTGGAAAGTTCTGGTATCACTGCCTCGAGGATACCCAGAGTTTGTCCAGCAGTTTTTGGCTCGAAGCTGCCAGCCGGTGCTCGCCCAGACTTGGTCCGTTTTACCAAAGGGGGCTTTGGGTTAGCGGAATCACCCCGCTTGTGGTTCAAGAAGCTGCAGAAGACGCTGACTGCGCTGGGAGCCAAGGAGTGGTTGTTGATACTGGGAGTCTTTTCGGTCTTCGTGCAAGGAGAGATTGTGGCCATGATAGCTTGTCATGTGGACGACATCAGGCTCATTGGACACCCCGAGAAGGCAAAACCGATTTTGGGAAGCCATCAATTCGGAGAATGGCGCCATGTGGCCGGTGAATGGGCCAAGTTTTGTGGGCGCTATGAGAGGCAACTCCCGGACGGGACCATCGAGGCGCAGATGGACGACTACTGCGCTTCAATTCCCACCCAAGAGACGAGGCAACATGGTGGAGAGAGATGGCACGGAGCTCACCTTGAACGAGCGAAAATGGGTGGGCCATGTTTGTGGCCAACTTTCTTGGCTGGCCAGACAGTGCCGAGGGGACTTGCTCTTTGGAGTCTCGAGGGTTCAACAACTTGCAGGTGTCGGGGACCCGGACGAGCTCTATGTGCTGGTGGAGCGAGCCAAGGAGGTCAAGACCATGCGGTTCAAGCCTTTGGGATGTCCTCCTGGACAGTGGATGGTGGTGGCAGCTTCCGACGCAAGCTTTGGAGGTATGCCGCGTGGTCACAGCCAAGGAGGAGCTGTATGCTTGGTGGCGCATCCTGGTTTGCTAGAGGGCAAAGCGGCAGCGGTGCCAATCACCTTTCATTCGGCCTTGCTTAAACGAGTGGTGCGCTCAAGCTTGGCCGCAGAGATCAGCCAAGCCGCGGAGGCCCTGGACCAAGCCGATTTTCTTCGAGCAGTCATGGCAGAAGCGCTATATATGTCGGCTTCGACATTGACCAGTGGCTCTTGCATGTGGCTCACTGGCGCTTGGTCACGGTGCTGGATAGCCGCACGGGATACGATCTGCTGAATGGGTCGGGGCACGGAGAAGATCGCCGCTTGGCCATCGACATCGCGGCGATGAAGCAGGCGCTGTTTGAGGATGGTGGAAACCGCCTGGTGAGGTGGGTGCCCGGCAACGACCACATCGCGGACGACTTGACCAAGTTGATGGGCAATGGCCGCCTGATGATGGCACTCTCCGGAGAACAGCTGGTCTCTGAGGGATACGGCAGAGGCGAAAGCGCTTCGTGAAGACGCTGCCGAGCGAAAACGCCGGTATAGGCAGCGGATTTCTCAGAGCCGCGAAGCGGCGGAGCACTTGCGCCAAAGGGGGCAAGTGTTGCTGGAAGCCTGGAAGGCTCAAGCGAGGTGGAAAAGGTTTTGGTGGCGTCGACCACTTTTAGTGTAAGGTGTGGGCTTGTGTGTTCGAGGCCCGAGACACCGAGGGGGGAGTGACGGCCATGACGCCTGTCTTCTCCCAGACACCCACTGGGACGTCTATCAGAGTCTATCAGGCGGCTATATGCCAGTCTGGGGTGCTTACTCGGTTGTTGTTTCCCCGCCCACTGGACTGGCAAGTTTCTTGTGATGCAACAATGTAAATCAGAACGGTGCCGAATGTGGATCAAGCGGAGAACTTATCAGCTACTAACTCGGTGAGGACTTGTGTCCGACCTTTTTTTTGCCATTGCTCTATGTAGTTATCGCTGTGTAATACGAATAGAAGAATCACGAGCCCCACGTGTGCGGTTAAATTTTGTGGTAAGCGGCTCTGGCCGGTGCGGCAGACGAACGTTTAGGCGGGGGTGTCACGGTGTGCCTTTGGCTACCGCTACCGCGACCTCATCAGGCAGTCTCTACTTATATTTATATAAGTAGGGAGGGGGGAGACCGAGCGGGCAAAAAACAGTTTCCTTGAGGCCATTTATACCATGTTTGAGATCACCTTTGCTGGGTCTTGGCCCCTATATGCAAGACCTGTGATTGAAGAGGTTGGCGTGGGTTTCTTGTTTCTGCAGTGATGAAAGCGAGTGCTTCAATTTTAATGTTTCTTGCGTTTTCTTGCTGGTTTTTGTTTCATTAGCGTTTCTTCCAATCATACGGCCGTGTTTTTGTTCAGCGCTGTGACGACAGACCATGAAAACAACCCTGTCACTCTCAGGCTACTGTATATTCTTTGTTGCGTACATCGTCTTCGTGGTATTTGCTGCGACTCGATGTCAGTGCTTGTTTGGTGATTTTGCCACAGCACGTAGAAAGTTTAGCACATGCCTGACAATGACAATGTTTCTGTTGAAGGTGATTCGTGTAATCAGCGCCATTTTCCTCAAGGCTTGCATTCTAGCCTCACCGGAAGAATATGTGCAAATTACTTTTCAAAACCATGTAATTTTAGCCCTCACTTCTTTTTGATCATAGGAAACTCTGGATGCTGCGCAAAATGATGCCCAGTTAGTCGTGCAGCTTGGCAGTTATTCTTTGTAGACAAAAAAGACATCACGATGGGCAGGCTTTTGATTTGGGGTAGAGTCTTAATCAACATTGGGAAAAGCAAAGCATGTTCTGGGATATGTGCAGTGAGCAGAACTTGGAATTTGAACTGAAATATGACGTCCCAGGCGGGAGAAGGCGAAGGCGAGCCAAGAGTACGTGAAGCGTCTCAACAAAGTGTGCCTCACATGAACAGTTTGCTTCACGATGTTCTACCTTTTTATGGGGAAGTTGATTTGTCAAACAGTTTGGACTTGCATCCATGTAAGGTTCCAGACTATGGATCTTTCGCAAGATGGTGTTGTCACCAAAGAAGAGTTCCTGCAACTGTGCCAAGATCCGACTATCAGGAGCTATATGACGTCCTTGGTGTTTTGGCGGAGTCAGTTGTTGAAGTTCCACCTGGAGCGCTTTGAGAAAGTGGAGATTGCGCGCCTTTGTTCTTTTTTCACTGGCTCAAACTCAGGATGTGGATGTAAATGATGGCTCGCATTTATTTAAGCTCCTAGATGATGGTGATGGGAATTTAACCTATGAAGAGCACCTTGCCGATCGTGAAGAGGTGTGAGTCTGAGTGTAAGATTTGCTGCACTCAATGTTGTTCCGAGGTTCATTGCTGGGATGATGCGCTTCAAAGGATTACATTTTCGATGGTTTGAGTCTAGTTGGCTTCGACTATATAGACTTGTTGCAAGTAGAGAACGCAGATGCAGACGATGTTCTGCGCGAAAAGACGACACTGTTTGAGAACTCCATTGAAGCCAAGCCAACTTGAGCTAGATCATGTTTGCTTATATGTATGTCATGGTTTGTTTATCGTTTCAAAGTGGCTCAATGAAAAGGCATGATTAAACTGCCTCATGTAAAACAGCCCGTGCGTTTGTTCCATGCTCGAAGGATCTGCCAAAGCCATTGACGTCATCTACCTGCAGCGAGAAGTCGAATGGATACAACAGGCCCCGCTTGTTCACACGTCAGAAGTTTTGTTTATGTGCTTTGCGGCAGTCGTAGGAGCTGCTGCGGCTCACTGACAAGCTGATTGGGCCCAATCTCAACGACAAGAGAGTTCGGAGGAGCAAAACGTCTCCTTTGGACACACATACTGCATTGCCCTGCATTGCCTTTTTGTCGAGGAGATCGGGCCGCATCAATACCCAAAAAGAGCATCAGATTCATGACGAGAAGCAGGTCTTTGAGCCACCTGTACCAGAGCCCGAACTGCCTCATGAATATTTGACAAATGCCATGCGGTCCTGACAAAGGGATTTGCCAGAGGAAACTGCACTTGGCTCGGTATGCTTCTCACATCGCGAAATACGTGTAATGAAACATCTAAGATGTTTCTGTTTTTCCCGCTTCAGAACATTTCACAGAGGACTTGTGGGCTGGGCTGGAGGCCAGCCAACAGGCAACATAACAAGTCCCAACTTGATGATTCCTCTAATCAGAGCATGAATTGATGTTGTGATCACCAGCTTGACTACGAGACAAACAACAAGTTCTGTGTAGATTATGTAGGCACGATGAACAGGCCCCATATCCCTTTTCTCACTCTTCCAAACCTTGATGTCAAGTCCATTTCACCCTGTACGTCCCAGCACAACGGTTTCAAGTATGCAACGCTTTGGGAACTGTGGAGAAAGTCGTGGTTTTGCCAGCCCAAGCAAAGCTTGGATGGTACCTTTGTGGCCTGCGCCGTGAATGAAATTTCATCACAAATGGCCAGCCCTCGAGTGTATGTTAGAAAGAATCAGTCGGCCGGGGATTGTCCCGAAAGGTAGCGCAGTCAACAGCATCTGTAATCTGGAGATCCTGGAAGAAATTTGGGCAGGTCCTGAACTTTCGATCGTGTAAACAGTTCCCAATCCATGGTTCTCAATACAAACTACTCTAGTGGAATCGACTGCTCTTCACTCCTTCTTCCTTCCTCCCCTTACCTAGTTTGGGAGTTCGAGAGCACCGGCTTCACTTAAAGAGACGACCCCAAAGCGAGATTTCGAACGTTGCAAAGCCTAGTAACAAGTGCCACGCTACTAGGAACAAGTGCCTTACTACTAGTA